CCCCCACTCATGCTTTTCAGTTCTATACTGTACAGTATTTTTAAATTTATCTGCATATTACCCTTTATTTAAATCAGGCCTAATGCACACATGAACAGCTATATGGTAAAATAACTTTTGTAGACAATATTGAAGTACATGCAAATAACATTAGTTATTTTCTTTTTCCCTCTGTATATTAGAATCCAGGATCATACTTGTGAACTGCTTGGGAACTATGAGTTTATCAAAACACCTACCATCCTAATCTATGAGTTCACTGGGGGAGGGGACGCTCTCCCCTCCAGTGCCCCAATCTAACCCAAGACCCAAGACTTGCCATCTTTTCTGTCTGATAACTTTCTCAATCCTTGAATGATTCTCATCATCAATCCTGTTTATACATCAGATGTCATGTTGTTTGAATCAACCCAAGAGTAACAAAAGAGAAAAATCATAGGAAAATGAACTCATTATGTGGTGTATGTAGTTAGGAGTTAAGGCAACAGATTGAGGGGTTACAGCCATACCTGAATAAGGTGATATTAAATTACTTTTAAAAGGCTCAACAAATCCTTTGAACCCCAAATATGATATATCTTTGGAGGAAAAGAAAACTTTCTACTCCTCTGCTACAAAGACAGTGCTGTTTTCTAGCACAAATGTTCTCCTGCTAGAATTGCTTTGCTACACTTCTGCTAGAACATGACAGGTGACCTCCAAATAGACTTGTTGTGTTGCAGAAATGCAGCACCCAGACGCTTGTTTCACAAGTAAGTTTATCATCCCTGCAAAAAGAGAGAGAGAGAGAGAGAGAGAGAGAGAGAGAGAGAGAACAGGAAAGTACAGAGAGAATTAAAAAGTGGTAAGAATTTGGCTTGCTGGTTTTATTCCTTTTTTAATTCATGACTTTCTGGTATCTGGTATCAGATCCATCACGGATTGCTAAAAAGATCAATCTGTCCTCACTAGAATATACTACCAAAAGAGCAGGATGCACCAAAGAATGTTTTCAATGGATATTAAATAGCAACAAAAGTTTTAAAACAGAAAACAGAATTGAGTGAACTAAAAAAATTCATGAAGGTCTAGAAATATAATCACTCAACAGCACATGACTGAATACTCTAGGAGCAATCATGTATTTTTTTTCTACAAGATAAATTATTGAACAGGGTCATGTGATTCTTAGCAGGCAGAAAGATGCACTTTCCCAAGGAAAGTTCATCATTAAATGTATTATTTAAGACTGGATCATCGTAATGCTWTTTTTAATCCTATCATCTTGCTGCCAAAATTGGCCATAAGCAGCTGATGCTCAGCCACTAGAAAAATGATGCTCTTAAACATAATTTGTACACTGGCATGAGAATGGCACTACTTTCCAGTTAATCAAATGTTCTGCTAGATGTGGGCTGCATTCAGAAAAGAGAAAACTGCTTGCTGACTTAACTAATAAAAAGGAAGCTGACCTCTACTGGTATGGAGAAGCTCCCATCTTCCCCAAACTACCAATACTAAAAGACACCACCTCCCAAAAAAAGTTAAACCCACCATTTCATCAACAGAATGAAGCCCAGCTCCTACAGTCTCTGATTTGAAGCAACCCATCCTTCTCATCACGTGCATCTCACTCCCTCCTAACACATGAGTCTGAATRTCATCAGACTTCACAGTTTGGAGGGTGCTAACAATCCTTCACCACCACATTGCCCATCTCTCAGCCCTTTGTTTACAAGAGACCCTTTGTTCTCAAAGCAATCACAGGGTCACTAAACCCATTTACAGAATTCGAACACTGTTATGAGAGAATAAAATAATAACCAACAGAGCCACTAAAAAAGCTGATTTCTCTTTTAACTGAAAATAGGAAAGCTATGTCACCTTAATAGGACCAGTGATGCCAGTACCAATTGTATAACTACCATCAAAAACCATCTTGAGAAGACTGGGCTTCTGGCAATTGACCTCCTATTTCTCCTTCATTCCAATCTATGTCTTCCTTAGGATCAGATGGCTCTAGTGAAAACTGGGAGATATTGAGTATGCTCTAGACCTGGGAGACCACTGGACAGGGGCATTGCAGAAGCCCTCCCAGGATGTGCTGCATCTCAAAAGATGCCCCCAGGAATCAAGCAGGTAGCCAGCACCTTTAACTCTTGTGCACACAGACCACAAAGTCTGACTGACTCAGGAGCACTGGGGTGAGACCTGAGATTCTGCATCCCTAGGAAGCTCCAGCTCTGGTCTGTGACCCATTCTTGAGCAGCAAGGTCTTAAGACATTTTTAAAGAACTGTTGCTGTCTCACTGCTTCCTTTCCTGCTTTCTCTGGATGCCACACAATGCCTTATTCAAATTTAGGAATAAAATCACATCCCACTCTATCGCCAACTACTTCTTTAGTCTTGACTTAATTTGTAGGCTTCTGGGATCTATCAGAGGCAAATCATTCCAAGGACTACTTCCTCCATGTTATGAAACATGGATGGCAAACACTTCTCAACCCCAGAAAGTTCTGACTGTGCAGCAGAAAACTTCCAAGTGTTCAGTAAAGTGTTCTGCAAATGAATTGAGCCCTGGATATAATGCAGATCATTGTCTTCTGTGAAGAAAATATGAAAGCTCTCTTCTGAAACTTTTCCATTGTTATTAAAACTACACTGCACTATGCAACATATCATTAAGGATGCAACCCTGATGGGTGCGAATTTTAAGAAGAATCTATATGCCAAATGCCTAAAATAGAAAATTAGATTAATAACTGCTCATTTGAAATGATAAGTAAATCATCTATGACTCTCAAATACTACTAGTTTTCTACAAAAGTGTTCACATGATTGCATTTCCTGACATATACTTTTTTTTTTTTTGGCCAAATTCCTTTGTTTTTCTATACAGTCAACCAACCATGTGTTGTTCTGAAAACTATTATGTATTTTACCATCAGCCATTTGTGGTTCTATATGATTTATTTTTACTATAAGAGGTTTTGTCCAAAAAGAAGTTTTATCATGTTCTACAGTATGTCGTTGTGGTTTGGCATCATAAAATGTAGCCTGTACATTTATCAGCCTCAGATACCTGTTGACCACAGAGATAGGCTCTCCAATGAAAACCTGATTGTGAAAGGAGAAAAAAGCGATCCTTCACTTAACAAGAAACTTCAGTTGTATGAGAGGTTAACACACTGGAACTCAAGAACAAAGGTCAAGGTTATATCTATATTTCTATCATAAACATGGCCTTGTTTCCCACCTTTTTATTAATTTTCTTGATCGATGACAGTTACTGCCTTGGATTTCTTTCAACTAGAAAGAAAAATTTCAAATATAACTTTTTCATAAGATGAAATAGGAAAAACATTAAACCAGTTTTACTTTGGCTTTAAAGTGATCCTTCTGGAGTCTGGAGGTCCCTACCTGTTTGGATACAGAAGTTAAAAATCAAACTACCTACTTTTAACTTAACACTTAACAAAAATATTTTCATCCTATAGCAAATTCTGCAAGAATGTGGAATCTCAACACACAAAGGATTCACAAAGAGCATTTAGATTTTAGAGATTTTAAGTTAGGATATTTTGGTTAAGTTTACTTTTAAACATTGTACAGTGGCATCAATGTTTTGTCAACTTTGGTCAAATAAGATCAGATGTTCCCATCAATCATCTACTTTCCTTGGCCTTTTCTCTTTTGGGCCCCTGAATATTAGTACATTTTGTAAATTGTAGTAGAAACATGTAATGTGCTTCTTGACATTTAATCCACATACAGTTAATTCTAGACTTTTTGCTCCTGTTAGGGCCTATAAAATAATATTAGTAATTCTCCCCAGAGATTATAAAAGGAAGCACTGAATTGCACCCCTTTTCAAAGAAAACTGTTCAAATTAAAACAAAGTGTCTAAAAAAAAGACTTCAGACAAAAATTAATACTTTTTCATAAATCATTTTAAATACAAGGTGAAGGTCTTAATTATAAACCTCAAGTCTTAGGTTCATGGAATAGTAGAACTGTATGCTAAAATGATGAAAGCCCTATCTACCACATTACCAGAAAAAAAAAAAAAAATCTCCTCACGAATGTTCTTCAAAGCTATACATATTAATCATTTCAACTGAAGTCAGGGCATGAGAGAATCCACTGCTAAGAATCACTTTATCTTACATAGAGAGCTAGATGCAGGTTTTGGAGTTGTTTTGTTTTCTTTTTTCCAGCACAGTGGATCAACTACAGAATTATGTGGATTCTAGGTGGAGAAAAGTAAAATACCAATAGACTTTTAAATCATACAGGAGTTACAGAATACAAAGGGTGAGGCCGATGCTAACTCTGCTACTCAAGAGACAGAGTCAAGCAGCCACAGCCTAGTGATCTTCCTGGCACAGGCACCATCCTGCCCACTGGGAATATGGTACTGCAGATTGGGGTCTACCAACTTCATCGAATGCCAACCTCCTTACAGACACTGCTCAGTTTTCCAGGAAAAGGAGTTATATTGGTTTTCTCCTCTGGGAGAATTTTACCAAGTGAGTTGGAAAAGACATGCCGTTGGTCCTCTGGTGGAGTCTGTTCCTCTACTAACTGGATGGTTCTCAATTTTCAGTAGGAAGAGGAATCCACCATGCATGCTGCGAAGACCCAACCCTTGGGGTCTGGTTAATATGCAGTCCCTGAAATCTCTGATCTCAACAAGCTACTGGTGATGCTGGGAACCCCTGAGCTCCCAGTTTGAGAAACACAGAAGTGAAACCATTTATCAGAAAATACTACTGGGTCAAAAATGAGCCTCGACGATTGGCAAGCAAATCACACACTTTCCGCGGAAAGGAGTTATCACGGTCCGGTTGGCCAGGCGCACCTTGTCCAGAGGAAAAGGGAAGGGATCAGAACTACAAACCCGATTTTATTCCCTGGCTCACGGCCTTCCCCTGACCCACCCTATCCACCCACCCTTCAACCAAGGTATCTCAGATCCGAGACCTCAAACCCAGACTCATTCAACCCGACGTGCACCTACCCAGCCTCCGTTATCCTGGATCCAGGTGTGCAGGTGCCGGTTCAGGTACTCAGTCATCCACAGGGCGATGTTGTCCACCAGGGGCGACATCTCCCGGTTGACGCTCTCCACACACATGACCCCACCGAACTCAAAGAAGGCCACAATCCTCCCCCAGTTCACCCCATCCCTGAAGAGCTCCTCCACCACCGTGGCAAAGCGTCCCCTTGCGGTGAAGGGCGTCAGGTGCAGCTGGCTGGACATCTCGGCGAAGTCGCGACGATAGCGACGAGAGAAGTCATCGCCGGCCTGGCGGAGGGTCAGGTGGACCACAGGTGGCACCGGGCTGAGCACGGGCCCCGCGGCGGCAGCGGGGGCAGCCGGGGGTGGCGGTGGCGAGGTCCTGGCGGCCGGGTCCCGGGGCGCAGCGGGCGGGGGATGGCTCCCCGGTTGGGAAGAGAAGATGCCCGGCCCGGGGGCGGCTCCTGGGGACGCAGCGCCCACGTCTCCAGCATCCCACTCGTAGCCCCTCTGTGACAGCTTATAGTGGATGTACTTCATCACTATCTCCCGGTTATCATACCCTGTTCTCCCAGCGTGAGCCATCCTTTCTCCAAGGAAAAGCAGCCGGGTACCAACAGCACCTTTCGCCCCCGCTCCCACCCCACAGCCCCGAAAGAAAAAAGAATAGTTATAATCCAGCTATTTTATTGGATGTGCTTTGCATTCTTGGATGAGGGGGTGTCTTCAGTCACGAGGAACACTTGATTCTGGTGTTTCCCCCTTGGCATGAGATGCAGGAAATGTTTATTCAAATTCYTTTCGGATCTTTATTTCATGAGGCACATTATTATTAAGTATTGTTAATATCAGTCTACTTCCTCCGTGATGCTGAAAGGTTAGAAGGAAGAAAAAAAAATAGTTAAGTMAAAATCAGGTGCATTTTCCTTAATACGCTGGATGAAAGCAGGGCACACATACTACAAGTTACACGGTTAAAAAGAATGTATTAAACTACCTGGAAATTAAATTTACTCGAATGCACTCAAAGTCGAAAACCTCAAATGTGTCCATTGAAAGTTACCATTAAACCAATATCCCGTGCAAAGAACTTACTTGTATTTTTTAAGGACAGCATGATCCTCTGTCAAGTTTCCTTTTTTGTAAAACCAAAACAAATGCATAAGGCAACGATCCCATCAATCTTCAGAACTCTCCGTTTATAGCTGCTTTAAAACTTCCAAATGAATCAGGAGTTGGGGGAGGGGACGTAAAAATTGGGAGGATTTCCAGATTGATTCCCAGACTTCGGCTTCGCAGAAATGTCAATCCGTAGGAATCCCGACCGGAGATCTCAAGAGCACAAGGAAAAAAGGCAGCGGCGGCGGCAGATGAATTACAATTTTCAGTCCTGCATTTGCAGAAGTCCTGTGATTTTCCCCCTCTCGGCAATTTACACACGCACAGACACGCGCGGGCACAGACATGGATCTCTATCCACGGGACCGCTTCACGCCTCCACGGGAGGGAGACACGGGAGGGAGACGATGGAAGAGCCGGGGACGGGGGCAGGAATCCTCTTCGGATCAAACTCCRCACAGCAAATGCATTTTCCGAAAAGCTGCTTGATAAATGAAGGCAGGACGCGCCCGGCCCGCCGGTGCCGAGCGCGAGAAGCCCGCGCGCTGTGTGTGGTGCGGTGGGGAGAAGGAGGTGGTGGGGGAGGGTTTTATTTTTTCCCTCTTTTCCTAAAAAGGATGACTGCTACGAAGTTCTCCCCCCTGGACCCCCTCTTCCGCTGCACCCCACCAGCGCACCCCGCCTCCGGGCTGCGCACCCTTTCTCCTCCTCCTGCTCCTGCGCGGCGGCGCAGGCGGCGGCCGCCTCCTCGAGCTCCCGCCGCGCAGCCCGCTCCGAGCAGTGACGGCTGCCGGCGGGGAGGGCCCGGCTCCCGGGCACCTTCGCTGGCGGCGGCGGCGACGGCTCGGTGGGGACACCGGAGCGGCGGGCGAGAGCGCGGCGGGCGGGCGCGCGGGCGGGCGGGGAGGGGGCGGGGAGGAAGGGGGCGGGCGCGGGGCGGGGGGGCTCTGGCCTCTTACTTCATTCTCCTCACAAACCGCCTGGTTTCCTGTACGTACGTCACTGTTCATTCAAAAAAAAGAAGAAAGAAAGAGCCCTCCTCTGAGCCGCCCGACCGCCCCCCTCCGCCCGCTCCCTTCCCTGGTTAAAGGCGCCGCGGCCGGCCCGGAGGCGGCGCGCCCGGCCGGGGACACATGGCGCGCGGGGCCGCGGCTGGGGAGGGCGCGCTCGGAGCGGCCACCCGCCGGAGCCGCTCCGCCCGCAGGGCCCGGCCGGTGGGTGGCGCGGGCGGCGCAGGCCTCCCGCGCGGCCGCGGCGCGGTGGGTGTGCGACCGGCCTCCTCGGGCCTGCGGCGGGCCTGGCGCGCGCTCGGGGGTCGCCGGGGCTCGCGGGGGGCCGGGGGAACGCACGCGGCCCGGCCGGGGCGGGGGGAGCCGGGCAGCGGCGCAGCGCAGAGCGGCGGCAGCTGGGCGGTTGCGCCATGAAAACAAGGGCCGGACAGCCCGGGGAATCGCTGGGTGGCTGCTGACCGTGTGTGCGTGCATGTGTATGCACACGTGTGTGTACTCACACACTCCGTGTGGCACCAGAGCTCGGTCGCCTGGGAGAGGAGCCGGGCCGGTGCTGACCCCCGAGGAGTGGGACCTCAGCGCTGCCCTGCGGTGAAGAGGGACCGTGCACGTTGAATAAGGAATACCCGGGAAGCCCCAGGCGTCCTGTTTACACTCAAGCCGCTTACTCGGTGTCCACGCCGAACGCCCGCAYGGTCCCTGGCCTCGGTCCACCTGAGCRGACCTGAGCGACCCCGGCCAGAACWAACTTCCAGGGGAGGGGATGGGAGAGGTTGTTTCGGGGCTTTAAAATAGTTGAGTGCATATTTTCCCTCTGCCCCTACACTTGGGACACTGGGTCAGGGCTGGCTACTTTAAAGCCTCGTCTTAACTGGGACGGTGGGTTTTTAACGGTCTCCACCTTGCCTGGCGGCCAATCCGAGATGGTCTCACCTTCTCAAGTGATAAACGTATACGTCTCCACAAGCAAATCCTTGTGCCACAACCAGACGTATTTCTTAATTCACCAGCCTAAATAGCCCCTAAGAGAAAAGGAAAAGAGGACAAACAAGTTGCATGTGTGTAACTATTTTTATCATTAAGAGTCTTTGGCAAATAAAGCACCAAGGAGGGGAAAAGTGTTTCGTAAAAGCACAGCCGCAGGGCTCAAGTACAAACACATAGGCACACTGGGCTTTTGTGGTCGTAGAAACATGACCAATGAGTACTACAATGTGTGCGTTCTGACACCATCTTTATTTTTTCTCATTCCTAGTTTAAAATCAAGGCATTTATTCTTAAGAAGAAGAAATAGCACACCACATTATTGTTTTTTCTTCACCTGACATATCCCTTCAGCCATCCTGCCAACTTGTCGCACGTACGATCCCATGCCTTGCTACAATCTATTATTGGAGGAAATGAAGGGAGGCGCTGCTTCTTGCTCTTCTGATGGTTGTGGAGAGAGTCCTCTTTGACTTACGGAGAGTGGTGGGGAGGTAGTCTTGCCTGGATGTAGACACTAGGAATTGGTTGATCTGGGATATATGTTCTCATAGAAATAGTAGAAAATATATTAATTCCATAACATCATGGTTTAGTGATCTCATACCCTTGTCTTAAACCTTCCAAATTGCTTAAGAATTCATAGCCTTTGTACTTCTAATACCCAGCACGTGGGTGAGGAAACCAGAGGAGGGAGCTGGAAAAGAAATTGCACTTGTGCAAGGGAGGCAGCCAGAAGAAAATGGATCCCCTATTCCCAGAGAAAGGACAACTTCCTGACCTTTCTCTTTCTTTGCTCCCACAGTCTCACTAGATGGGTCTCCTGGACCACTTCCTTCTGTGGTATCCTGGCTATAACCAGCAGCTCGGGACAGGTCTGGGTCAGTCCTGGACTTGGTCTGGGCTGAGACTTTCCACGCACATGCACCAGGGGGACCTTTCACTTTCCAAGATGGCTTCTATCTCTCAGGACCAGGGGACCACCCTTTGCCAGCTCTGTCTGGTTGGAGTCTACCAGTAGGGTGGCACCAGGGAGAAATAGCAAGATGCAGGGAATAGAGAGTGTATCAAGAGTCAGAAAGGCCTGTTTTCCTTCTTCTTTCTCCAGTATGCCAAACAAAAAGCTATTTTTTTTTTTTTTTTGGCTAGTTTTCGCCACCTGCTGGTTGATGTTTAGAGCATTATTCAAAAAGTTCTCTTCCAGATCAGTGTGGATGTTCCCTAAGTTCATGAAATTTTTAAAAGAAATTATTCTAATATGAATACACTAATGTTTAATATATGTATTAGATCACTACATTTTTATTTAAAATGAGGGAAGAAAGACTTTCAGAGGGAATTGATTACTAATAGAAAGATGAGTTCAAAATATAACCATTTTTATTATTTTAGGTTAAAAACCATGACCCTGAATGAAGTGGAAAGAAATACATAAATGAAATTAACTAACTGGAGTAAACTAGAAAACTAGTAGTCCATGTAGCCTGCATTAAAAAAAAATGAACTGCTTAAATAATAGCATCTCACWGGCCTGACAAGCAATTAAATGCTAGCTTCTAATTTCAAGTACCTTCTACATTGTGAACTCTTATGCTGAACAGTGCATGCTCTTTCAGATGCCTTGAATACTTGGTAGCAAGCACTACATAAGCCCCAGTAATAGTGTTCCCAACCTGTTCAGGCTTAGAACCTCCTTCTAATGTAAATGATCGCATCCCAGTTGTATGCTTTGCGCTCTCAAACTCTTCTTGTAATCAGGAAATGCTTTTGTCAAATCTAAACCAACAAGCCTCAGTTTAACTTAGAAACCCACTGGATTAATTTATGGTGGGTTCTAAACCTCAAAAAAAAAAGTTAGAATAATTAAACAACAACCTTATAAAACTAGGCAACAAACTACAAATAAATCATGCTGCGGTGCAATTTTAACAGTGGACAAATAAAGTTTATTTGGGCTGGGGATGTGGCTCAAGCGGTAGTGCGCTCGCCTGGCCCGGGTTTGATCCTCAGCACCACATACAAAACAAAGATGTTGTGTCCGCCCATAACTAAAAAATATATATATATATATATATTAAAATTCTGTCTGTCTCTCTCTCTCTCCCTCTCTCTTAAAAAAAAATAATGTTTATTTTTGGTTTGTAAAAGAAAGCATAGGAAATTTACTTGTGATTTTTTTTTCCTTCCAGATTAATGACTTGGCATTTAAAAAGTGAAATAAACTAAGGGTAGGAAATTGTCTTACATTTTTCAAATGCCTACTCCTGTCTTTGGATTTAAACGGCAGTCATAGAACCATCATATTTAGGCAGAAAAGGTAAAGAATTTACACTTGTGTGTGTGTGTGTGTGTGTGTGTGTGTGTGTTTGAGAGAGAGAGAGAGAGAGTTTGTGTAACAGCCCAGGAGCATTCTGCTCCTAAGTTACATCCTCAGCCCTTTTTGTTATTTTGAAGCAGAGTCTTGCTAAGTTGTCTAGAATGTGAGATCCTTCTACCTCAGCCTCCTGAGTTGCTGGGATGACAGGTATGTACCACCATACCTGGCAAAGGATTTGCATTCTTATGTGCAATAACTTTTGTTCTCTTATGAGGTCTATATTTAGCACAATTATCTCCCAGATATTGCTACTGAACTCAATTAGAAAAAAAATAATCAAGGTTTTTGTTTGTTTCCTAAGACTACCTTGAGAAAGTCCCACAAACTGGATGGCTTAGAACAGAAAGATATATTCTTTCACAGTTCTGGAAACTGTAAGTCCAAAATCAAGGTGTTAGTGAGGCCATGCTCTCCCTGAGACTCTAGGTAGGATCTTCCTGTCTCTTCCTGCCTTCTGGGAGTGGCTGGCAGTTCTTGATGATCCTTGGCTGGCAGCTACATCCCTCCAATCTCTGCCCATCCTGAGATGGCATTCTTCCTGTGTGTCTGCTTTGGATTCTCACCAGGCTGTCTGCCATATTGGAGGAGGACCCATCCTCATAACCTCATCTTAACTTGATTGTATCTTTACAGACCCTGAATAAGGTGAAGGACTCCAACATGTTTAGGGGTGACAATTCAAGTCATATATCTAATGGGGGTATCTTTCAAACTCATGAGGATTGTTTACTCAAAGGCCTGAGGGCTGAGCAATGTTAAAACTGAATTTCAAGGGTTACCATGACCTTTCTAAAAAATCGTGATTTTGCATTTCTGCTCAGTTCTTCCACTCCTCTGCATGGCATGATCTGGCCAAGCCTGCCCACCCTTCCCTTCCACTTTGCCCTCTCACAGGTAGGTTAACTTATGGTGGTTTCTGGAACATGCCAAGATCTGCAACATCTGTTGACTTTGCACACTGGCTGGTCTTCCTGAAATGCACCCAACCTTTTCACCTGATAAATTAATACTCATTCTTCAGGTCCCAGCTCAAGAACTTCTCTGAGAAAACATCCTTGAGTTTCCTGGGCAGCCTTTGGAGTCCACCTGCTGGTAGATGTGGCTTGGTACAGGGACGGGTAGCTTAAAAACCACTAACCTGGGTTTGAATCCTGGCTCCACTGTTTSGCAGCTGTGACTTGGGCTAGTTACTGAACCTCTCCATCTGCTCCCTCATTCATAACACAGGGAGATAGAAATATCACTCATAGAGTTAATGTATAATTTCAGTGATTTAAAACATGTCCAGCACTCAACAGTGATGGGCATCAGTTTTCAGTCTATTGTTGATCAAGTGCAATTTCTGGCATGTTTCTGCACTAGATTTTAAGTTACTTGAAGGCAGGGACCACATTTTTCCTTGGTGGAGTCCCAGACTAGAACAGGGTGCTTGGCATTCAAATACTTCAGTCATAAAATTCAGAGGCCTCAAGCCAAAGAAAGAGTTGGGAACTTGTTCCCCTTTCTCCCACAAAACTTGTAAGCATCTAGTAGAGTTATCAGAGGGATTAAGGAAA